GGTTTGGTCTTGACGCTGTTCAGATGCGCCAGTACCACTCTGATGATGGCCGAATCGTGCACCCTGTCGGTCTTCGGGATGACGTGGTTGGACGTTTTCCTTTCGTCCCGATCGGATCTCAGCCATCTGCGAATCTCGTCCAGGTTGGCAACGGCCGCAGCGATTTTACTGTGGTGCGGAAGGAGGAGGGTGTCGTAGAAGTACCGGACGAACGCCTTCTTGCGCCGATCGTCGGTTTCCTCCTCCCGCTCCTCGTCGTCGTCGTCGTCGACTTCGTCAGCAAGAAACCCGACGGCCGCTTCGAACTGCCTTTTCTCTTCCTCGCTGCACCTCGCCCACTTGGTCCTGTGCGAACTCTTGGAAGTCGTGCCCAAACACGAGCTGACGAGTTCGACGAGTCTCGAACGATTGTCGCCTTCGCTATGCGCCTTGAACATGTACGCGAGACCTGCGACGAAAGCCGGGAACGCCGTTTCGGGCGACATGGTCGGGAATGAGCGATGCCGGTGTTTTGCTATAAGATATGTACGCACGCTCAAAAAACAAATATGAAATCACTCACGTTAGCAGTGTTGGGTTTGCTTCTGAAGTTTGCGGTTGCGCCATATCTCTGCGTCACCTTCACGCCGTCCGGGACGCCCTGGAACGAGATGCCGTAACTCCGTCGGGCCATCTCCAGCAGCTTGATGATGTCCTCCCGATTGGTGCGAGCGCAGTTTAGATCCTGCGCCCAGTTGACAACGGATATGCCTGATTCGTGCACCAGGAGCGCCGCAACGACCAGCTGACCGGCTCTGTTCTTGCCACTTCGCCGAGGAACCCGAACGACGGTAAACTTCCTGTCGTATTCTTCCAGCTTCCTGACGGCCGCCTGGCGCACGGCGGGATGCCACCTGGCGGGTTCAGTCAGCCTCCTCCTCGGAGAGGACGCCGAGGATGCGCAGCGCCGGAATTCGAAGCTCGGAAGCTTGGTCGCCTAACACTTTGTTGAACCTTCCGGCCATGACCACGTTGCACATATCCCGCTGGAATGGCTCCAGACGAATGTTGCATTCCTTGCAGAAGAATTCCAGAGTGGACTTGACGTTCCGAACGTGTTCTAACGCTTTCTCTTCCGCGCCGACGGTCTCGCCTAAATAAACGCATGCGGAGAGCGGCTTCAAGACTCTGAGCCTGGCTTCTCTGCGCATCCTCTCATCGATCCTGTCGCAAATCCTGCGCATCTGCCTTTCGTGAGGAAGCATGGCGTGCATGGCGTATCGGCGAGAGACACGCTACTAAGGATGTTCGACGCTACGGTTAAAGATTATTGCAAATTCACGTGGGATGGAATATATCTCAATGCGTATAAATGAAATTGTCATGTTGGGAAATAAATCATTCGAAACCAAAACCTTTTCGTTACCAAGTGTCTTTTACTTTTTTTTGTTTAAGTAGTAAAAGAGAGACAAAGACAAAGAGACACACGGAGAGATGAATAACTTGGACGTACCTCTTCCAGTCTACTGCGCGACGCTATCGTTCGCCTACAACGGATTTGGCATTGTGCTGTTTTTCCTAATTTTGGAAATGTATTTCGGAAAACGATACTCCGACATGTTCACGATTGAAACGAGACACGCCATGGTCGACAGCGCCGTCAGTTTAATGACGACAGTCGGCGTCGTAATCTTGTCCGCGATGGCCGGAGCTTTGCGGACGACGTTGGCTGACGATCGCTTGGTGGACGAAAGAACGATGGAGACGACGTTCTCGTGTCTGTTGGGCAATTACCTTTTGCTGCTTCTGAGCGGATTGGGAACATCCAGCGCGGTCGTGAGACCGATAAACAGGATCGTGGACGTTTTGTGCTTCACGACGTTCGCTCTGACGTTGAAATTCCCCGATCTGTACGGCGTTGGGATTTTGGTCGCGGTTATGCGAATCGGTTTTCCTTTGGATTACATGTGGACGTTGACCAACGTGAAAAGTCGTGTGTGGAATTTTGCAGAAACGTTCGTCTGCAACTGCGTGCTACCGAACGTTATGGTAAAATTTGCCATAATCAACGTCCCCGTCGAATTCGGGCCAGATTCCGTTCCTGTGGTGGTGCACTACTGCTTCCTGTCGGCCGTCGGCTTTGGCAACGGCGTTCTTCCGATCTTCGCAAGAAAGGCGGCAGAAGTTGCTTTGAAATTGGTCGACAATCGCACAATCGACTTGGAGTTTCCCGATTTAAACACTTACGTGTACGTAGCTTCCGTACTTTCGTTTCTTTTGGCCGACGACCTCGTAACGACCAAATTGGAATCCGCCGCTTGGGCTGCATTAAGTGAACGATTGGAATGCTTCGACGTGAAGAAAATCAACGAGTTTGCAGAATTACTTGTACATTCCTACGAATCTTTCCGAATATCCGGCGACCCGTGGTTGAGGTTTCTAGCCATATGCGAACCGTTTCTTTTTGGAAACTTCGCCGCTCCCGTCCTGGACGGATACCGTCCCACCAACCCACGTTATAATCAATTGTGTACGTGTGCGTACGATGAGAACGTGCTGCACATGCATTTTTTAATGATGGGTTATACATATTTTACGTGCCGGATAACATTGTCCGACTTCATAAACGACCTGCCGACGCCACCGGAATTCGCCGA